ATATGTAAAATATTGTCATCACAATGGATAATCAATATAAAGATTTTAAATTAGATATTTTACTTTGTTTTCTTCTTAATCCATCAGACTCTTTATATACTTTATACTTACAAAACATCTCAATTTGGACTAGCCACATTTCGAAAGCAGAAGAACCATGTGTGGTTAGCAGCTACTACATGGAACAATGCATCTCTACTTTGGCTTTGTCTTCTAAGAAAAAGGAAACTTTGAGAAACTCAAAATTCTTCATGCCAGCTGCTTCTCCCCACCCAGCATTCACATAAAGCACTGTGAGGGACTGACTATGTGTCTGGTTCTTCTCCAGATTCCAATATGTAGCTCTTGCCCACCTGACTGATTAACGTCCCTTCCTTCTCCCTCCCCTGACTAAATCTCTCCGCTTATAACCAGACAAGGCAGACAACTGCAGAGTTGAAAATAGTACCCAGTCTCCACAATAAAAAAAAAAGATATTTTTCTCTTTCCCTCTCTGGAGTTTTTTTTTTAATTTCTCTGGGCCTTTTTGTCACATCAATTTTTGGTATACTCAGGGATATATTTAAATAAGCTTTACTGAAATACAATTGATATCCCATAAAATTTACCTTTTGAGGTGAACAATTCAGCATTTTTTGTAAGTTATATTGTACTCACTGTACATCACTCAGTATACAAACACTCAGTGTACATCCCATTGTACATCACTACTACCTAATTCCAGAACAATTTCATCAACCCAAAAGAAATCCTATACTATTAACAGTCATTCCTCTCTCCCCTCCTAGCAATCACTATACTACTTTCTGCCTCTATAGATGTGTCTATTGTGGACATTTCATATAAATGGAATCATATAATATGTGGTATTTTGTGTCTGGCTTCTTTCAGTTTGCATGTTTCCAAGGCTGGTCCATATTACAACATATACTCCATTCCTCTCTGTAGCAGAATGTTATTCTAATGTATGAATGAGTACACCACATTTTGTTTAGTCCTTCCTCAGCTGATGAACCTTTGGGTAGTTTCCACTTTTCGGCTATTATGAATAGTGCTGCTATGACCACTGCTGTGCATGCTTTTATGTGGACATATGTTTTCAATTCTCTTGGGTACATACCTAGGAGTAGAATTGCTGCATCATATGGTAACTCTATGTTTAAACTTATGAGGAATTGCCAACCAGTTTTCCACAGCAGCTGCACCGTTTTACATTCTCACTAGAAATGTCTGAGGGCTCCAATTTCTCCACGTCTTTTATCTTTTTTATTGTAGTCATTCTAGTGGGTGTAGTTTTGACTTGCATTTCCCTACTAACTAATTGGGTTGAACATCTTCACACATGCTTATCGACTGTGTTTCTATGTTCTTTGGATATACATCTATTCAAATTCTTTGCCCATTTTAAAAATTAGGTTGTCCTTCTATTATTGAGTTGTAAAAGTTCTTATATTCTGATTGTATGTCTCTTACTAGAGATGTGATTTGTAAATATCTTCTCATGTTCTATGGGGTCATTTGCAGCACAAAAGTTTATAATTTTGATAAAGTCCAAATTACCTATTTTTTCTTGTCCCCTGTGCTTTTGGTGTCATTTTTAAGAACCCAATGTTTAAACCAAAGTCACAAAGATTTACTCCTCTGTTTTCTTCTGCAGGTTTCAGAATGTTAACCCTCATATTAAGTCTCATATCCATTCTGAGTTAACTTTTATGTAAAGTAGCACCTAAGGGTCCAGTTTCATGTGGACATGCAGTAGTCTAAAAACTTTTTGTTGAAAAGACTATTATTCTTTACTACTGAAATGTCTAGGCTCCTTTATCAAAAACCAACTGATTGTAGATGTGATGGTTTGTTTCTGGATTTCCAAGTCTGTTCACTGGCCCGTGTGCCTGTCCTCATGCCAGTCAGTATGCCACTACCTTGATCACTGTTGTTTTATCATAAGTTTTGAAATCAGAAAGTATGAGTCCTCCAACTTTGTTCTCCTTTTCCAACATTGCTTTGGCTATTCTGGGTCCCCTGAATAATTTCCCTATGAATTTTAGGATCAACTTGTCAATTTCTGCAAAGAAGCTAGGCTGGAATGTGGATTGGGATCAGGTTGACTCTGCATATGACTTTGAGAAGTACTGGTATCTACCAACACTAAGTCTTTAGAACTATGCACATGTGATATATATGTACATACATATATGATATTGTTTGGTTTCTTTCAACAATGTTTTGTAATTTTCAGAGTATAAGTTTCACACTACTTTCGGTAAATTTTTTTTGCAGGTATTTAACTATTTTTGATGCTATCATACATAAAACTGTTTCTTTAATTTCACTTCTAGATTGTTCTAGAATTTCACTTCTAGCTCACTGTTACTGTAAACTGATTTTTACATTTGCTTTGTTGTCCTGCAACCTTGCTGAGCTTGTTTATTTGACCAATAGTTTTTCAGTGAATCCTGTAAAATTATCTACATACAAGATCACATTATCTGCAAAACTCATGGTTTTATTTCTTCTTTACAATCTGAGATCCTTTTATTTCATTTCTTGCCTAACTGCCCTGCCTAGAACCTCCAATATAATGCTAAATAGCAGTGTTGAGAGTAGATCTCCTTGTCTTGTTCCTGATCTTAAGGGGAAAGCATCCAGCCTTCACCATCAACTACGTTAGCTGTGGGTTATGACAGATGCCATTTATCAGGGTGAGAAAGAAACACCAAGACAGAAAGAAGAAACATCAAGAGCAGATTAAAAGAAAGTAACATATGGAAAGGGAGCAAGACAGTGAAACAACTGAATTTTATAAGTGCAGGTGGGAATTGGGGGGAACTAAAATGATAGAAAAGTGAATTTGAAAAGAACCCTGAAAGGAATTCATAAGAAATAGATCCCGAAGCCCTGGCTGGCGTAGCTCAGTGGATTGAGCGCGGGCTGGGAACCAAAGTGTCCCAGGTTTGATTCCCAGCCAGGGTACATGCCTGGGTTGTAGGCTATAACCCCCAGCAACCACACATTGACGTTTCTCTCTCTCTCTCTCTCTCTCTCTCTCTCTCTGTCTCTATCTCCCTCCCTTCCCTCTCTAAAAATAAATAAATGAAATTTAAAAAAAAGAAAAAAACAGAAATAGATCCCGAAATGTTCATTAGCTAAGTATATGATTTTGGCAAAATGTAAAAGTTCAATGTGTCTTGTTTTGTCATTATAAAAAAACATATAGGCATTTATTTTATAAACATGAAGTGTCCATTATATGCTTTTTGTGTACATATTTTTAAGCATTTTTGAATGAGACACTGAAGTTCTGAAGAGATAATATACTTTTTTACAATTTATTTTTGGCATTGTGTTTCTATATTTTAGAAAATAAATCAAATAGTGAAACAAAATAGGAAATAAGATAGGGAAAGAAGGCAAAAAGTAAAGAAAAGAATGAAAAATATAGAGAAGGAAAAGGTCAAGAGTGAAGAAAGATACAGAAAGGTACTGAAAAATTAGGTATGAAGAAAGTGGGAAAGTAACTAAGAAAACAGACCGAGAAAAAAGTGCAAGAAGGACAGAGGGTGGTGAAGCAACAATGCAGAGTTATGAAAGCTGAATATGCACAAACGCACACTGTAGAGGCAGGAAGTGTAGAGTAGAGGAGGAAAGGAAGTATCTCTGCAGTTCACTTTATTGATGGTGATAGGGTATTTTAATATGAAACATATTTCACCAAAAGTAGAACTTTTTTTGAGAACCACTTACTTCTAAGTGAAAAAAAAGATAAATACACCTGAAAGAATTTCCAAATGTTAAAAACTAAATTATTGTCACCCAGAAAGGACTCTGTTCTAATCCACTGACTAGACACTGAGGTACACAAGATATACAAGTTGTGATCTTGACTCTGTCATTGTTTGACTAGCAGCAACTATTCTTTTGGATCTTCAGTTTCCCAATCTATAAAATGAGAAATTTGAATTAGATAGTTCCTAAAGCCCCCTTCAGTCCTGACATCATAAGATTTTACATAAGCTAGCAAAATAAAAGCTTACCTCAAATAGGGATAAATATGATAAGTTACCAAAAAACAATATAAGAGAGAGAGTATAATATATAATTCAAAGGAAAAAAATATCAACTCAAATATCAGAAAAATTTGAGAAAATAAAATCCCCACTTAAAATAGCTATTACCCTCTAGGTAGTAAATGCATTATAAAAATAAGAATCTTTTCCTAGCAGCGATACTTATTGGAGAAGCGTAGAGATTTCTTTTTTAAAAGAGTAAGACTACGACATCTGAAAAACAGACCAGCAGGAAGACGAAGACACTTGTTCATCTGTTTTTCTGGGACTTGTCTCACTTGGTTTATTTGCAACTGTACTTTTATGTCTGGCAGCAGTGCCAACTTCAGTACGAACGATATATTATTTTTATCATGTTGATTACATATGTTCACCAGTTTAGTTGTCCATATATGCTTGGTGTGGTTTGCAAATACTCAGTGACAAAATCCAGAGCATGGCATTTTCACAGAAAGTGTTTACTGTGAAATTACTCCTTAGAAGTTTGCTTTTCTTTACAGCTTTGATCCATATGACATCCACAGTCCTACATTTCAAATAATGGCTTATAGTTAAATTAAAAAATGCTTCAATTTGATACAACATGACTATAGTAGGATGTGGTAGTTCTAGAGAGGACTTCATTTTCATATGTGATTAGAGATTTGGTCAAATTTAGAGTCTGCTAAAATTTTCCAAACTGCGCTTCTTCAGTTTTATGGTGACTTGGTACTTACATTCTGTTATTCATCAACACTTCACAGAAATACTTGATTTGTCTGAATGAATTTAAAAACCCACAACTGAAGAAAATCAGAAAAACCTGGTTTTAAATATCAAAAGATCCCAAATGAAAAATATTTCTACAGGCCACACTAAGCAAGTTTTATTGATCAGTGTACTTCTTTGCAGGATGAAATTGTTGCAAGATTGAACGTAAGAACATAAACTTACTGGTAAATATCTTTCCTGAGGACAGATCTGCCAAGGGGATTGTCAGCCTGGGGAGCCATAGCGACAGAACCAATCTTCAAAACCAGGGTGTCTTCTTTTGCTGCCTGGTTAACTGTAACAAAAGCAACAGATTTATGAGGTATACAGTGGGTCTGTGCATAAGGAGGAATGTCTGAGTAAAGGTGTAGAAACATTAAAATAAGAACAACAAATGAGGACAAGAAAAATATGTTTAAAATAGAAATAGTTGATGTTTAACTATTTCTTTTACATCCCATTAAGTAGTTTTCTGTCATATACAATTAAAATGATGATGGAAAAAAATAACTCCAACCTAACATGAAAATATATAAGCAGTAATGAAGCAGTCTGTTTATCTAATTTCATAATCTTATACTACTGTGTCTTACTCCCAGGGAATTTTCAGCCGTTAGCTTTTTAACACTGCACTGTCACCTACAAACATATTAAAGGCTATCACAAAGTCAGTAACAAATTCTTGAAACCACTTAAATTTATATTCTTAATAATAACTACATAAACACACACACAGTATACAACTATAATAGCTGTAAAATGTCAGAAAATCCAAAAGAAATATAATGGGTGCAACACTGAAGAAAGAAAGAAGAAAACAAGTGATTATCTAATATATGAGGATGTTTCAACTTGTTATTCTAGGCCCTTTTTAATTTTAAGATTTCTACTGTAAAATTGCTTGATATATAGCAGTTTCACACCTGTATAAAAGTTCTACCTCCTAATGGAATTTAAAACAAAGGTAAGTAATCTCAGAAAACTATAAAAGGCAAAAAGATATATCAACTCTGATTCTTTATGCTGAATAAAATATTTTACCATATGTTCTCATATTATAAAGTTCAACAATTTTTCTATAAATCATCAGCTAATTCAATGTCTTTTTGAAGGACTATTTAGAATGGATAGCAGTTCTTGATGACCCCATTAATTTACATTAAATTTTTCTCCCTCTTTGCACTTGATTATTTTACTGTAGTAGCTTTTTAAAATTGTTTAAAATGTTTTAGAATGGTTATTGATATACAACTTCTTGGTTTTGAAGAAAACATATACTAAAATTCACAATTTCTCTTAGGGAGCTATCATCTGCCTCCAATGGGACAGGAAAGGACTGGTTGCAAGACCTCAGGAATATTCTGAACTGAACGTGCCAACAAAGGCATACAATCCATATTTCCCAAACTGTGGTGCCCAAAGAATGCGAAAGCTAAGAGATTATTTCCAGCTGCTTAGCAATACACTCAGTATAGTCTGACTTAGATTAATCTAAAAAAAGAAAATCAGAATTAAGAAAATCAGAAAAAATAGGAAGACGTTCAGTGAGGAAAAGGAGGAAACAGAGGAAGATGTTCATAAAGGGAGGGGCCAAACACAGGGTGGGGGCAGAAAGAACAGCACCAGAGGAAAAAGATGAGCTACCCCAGTAAATATTAGCGTGTAGATGCGACAATAAAGACAGTACTTTAAAATGTCCACAGCAGAGAGATCAAATAGAAAACTACTTTTCATGGAGCTGCACTATTTTCAAATGACAAGAAGTCTGTCTTGATTGTAGGTCCTTATACTATGAACATTGTTTACATTTCACAGATCTTGCATTTTATGCCAAACTTATCAAATAGTTCCATGTGGGTAAAAACCTCTGATTAAGCAGCAGGCATCAATTAAATCAATAAATGGTAAGCCTGGAGAATAGACCATACCACAAAAGAGCAATTAGTGTAGTTGCTAACTGTTCTTCCAGGCTACAGATACTACCCACCATATGAAAGTCTGAAATGTAATAGAAACACTGCAGTAAATGAGGTACATATGGAAGAAAAATGACGTACTTGGTGTTACATACAAAGCCAGATCCAAGAACAGAATTCTGTTTCTGTTAGAGCCAAAAGTGTTCTCACTAGATTATACTGACTATGAAGTTATAATAAAAAAGCACTTAATACAGATTATTCACAAACTAAAATAATCAATTTTATTACAGAAAGTTATCAGCTAATCAAAATGTATCTTTGATATATAAGAAAAAAACAAAGAATATGTATTTATACAAGAAAGTGCCTTGACTCATTTCTTCAGTTACTTTATAGTTGGAAAAAAAACAAGCTTCCCTTTTTTGGTTTACTTCACCTGCATTTAATAGTTGGACCAGATGAGGAAATGTTCCCTCTAGAAGCATTTTCAACATGAAAATGAATGCCTTCCTTTATTGCTTTAACTGTATTTCAAAAAAAATTGAGCCTCATGAGGAACTACTCACTCTAGAAGACTCACGCTAAATCCAAAAAACAGTCCTCTACTCTGAAATAAATAGCTTAAAGCTGGAAGTCAAACACCTGTAGATTCAGAATCTTGATAATAAGTGCACATAATGCAAATAATATTCAAGTTAAAAATCAGACTTCCAATATTACTACTTTAAATGAAATATGAATGTTAAATATATTTCTTATGATTCTTAACTTAATTTTACACATGAACTTTAAAAACGTTTATATTCATTCAATGGAACATGAAATGTAAGTCTAAAAGGTCTTATCTGTTCTTATCTGTTCTTGTTTTTTCAAAAGGTGTATTGAAAATGAAAAGGCTGTAAACAACTCTGGAATTATGAGCTTATATATAAATAACCAAAAGCTTAAATAAAGAACAGAATTTTCAGGCAACTGTCAGGTAACAGTAAGACTGTTGCTTATAACTAAGTTTTCTTAAATCCAACATGAAATAAAAGTATTATGGAAACCAACTTTCTTTTAAGATTCTCAACAAAACTCAACATAGTAAAACATCTGAAGTCCCAAGAGTATTGGAACTGGCCACTGTACAATGTTACACTTTTATAAAGTTATAACTGCAGCGTCATTTCCACACAAAGCTACTGACAAAAGCTTTAAAGAGTGTTTGCCATATTTGCAGTGGAAGACAGAAAGAGGTTTCAATAAATGTGTAACCCTAATGACTGTTAATTGCTTGGAGATATTTTTTAATGTATAGCGTCCAGCACAAACAACACCCCTTTTTTACTACAAAATCTTTTATTACAAAATCATAAGCATGTAATTCCACAACATAACAATATCACAGTCAAGCACACCATATGACATTTTTGGTGAAATGTTCAAATTAAAAGTTATTATACCCATATCATTACCCTACCAACCACATTAAAGCAGGCGTTACTTCTGCCAGACCCTGTAGTTTCTGCTGAGAAGTATGATATAATACCATATAACTATGCTATCACACTTATTAAGACAATTTATATATACACTTTCAATTTCATTAATGTGATAAAAATTTATTCAAGAAAAATTTTTCAAGCCTTTCTGGAGTAAAATAAATACTATGCTTTTGACTCTTATGAGGTATTACTGTAATTACCGTTTAAGTAATCACATTTCTTTCTAATGGAAATGCTGCTTCAATCGTGTTTTCCTTATTTAGTCACATTATATCTTTTACATTCAATATTCCATATGAAATAGACATGTAAAACTTTGTCTACACTTTAAAATGGTTTAAATGGTAAATTTTATGTTATATGCATTTTGCTGCAATAAAAATTTTTTCATGGGTGAATGAATTATGGTCTTTTGAATTAAGTGTAGCAATGATAAAAAATAAAGTGTTAAAAATATAATGTGTCAAAACCTTCAAATTTTTGGCATGTATTTTAATATCTGTATTTTGTGGGTAGACACATATTCTGGCATTTCATAACATCTCACAGATTTTTAGATATAAATATATGTATAAGTAAAGATATATACATGTATATATAGATAGTTGACATGTACATACATGTACATAAATACAGATATACACGAGGACATATAAACAGACACACACACACAGACACAGAAGGCAAAATAAAAACAAAAATGAGGAGTTGTACATAATACAATGAATGCCAGACAAAAAGATTTAATACACAATGAGCTCTTATAATTGATAAAAAAAAATAAGCAACTCCTAGAAAAGCACTACACTTTCTGACTGACAAAAGACCAAAAACTTTGATAAACCTTTGTTAGGATGAGATTCAGAAACCAGTATAAACTGGTACATCCATTTAAGAGGGCAATTTTCCATCCTTTTGTATTTTAAATGTACATGTCCTTTGATGTAGCAATCATTTTGCTAGGAATTTATTCTACAGATATACTCAGGCAAGTCATAAAAAATACCAATAAAAAGGTGCTTATGCAAAAAGTGTCCACATAAGTCAAAGATTAAAATTAACCAAAGTCCATAGAAAATGTGGCAGACTGTATTTTCTGAAAATGGCTATATGATATCTTCCCATCTAATATGCTGATTTTTTTGATATGCTGATTTTAAAGGTACCTGCTTAGGAGGTACTTATGCATCTGAATTTTGGAATTAGACACTAAAAATCCCACCACAATCACCATTAAAAAGGGGTAGGAGGGAGATTTAAAAATATGACCACAAAAGTCTGAAAATATTTTTGCAATTACAATCAATTAGGGATTTACCTACTTATAACAGCTAAAAGGGAAATTTAAAACAACAACAAAACTGTATGGTATGTAGTACTAGTTAATGCCTATAACACAATAAGCCCAAAACAACAAGCAAACAAAACAAAATGTATACACACACAAAGGACATAAAGCTGTCATTTTTTTCTTTCACCTCTCAAAGAGTCATATTTTTATTCTTTCTGACATGCACACAAATCAATAAAGCACAGAACTCATTTCAATAAACCAATGCTGACTGTGATAGAAAAATTAAGCCAGAGGAAACTAATGAACTTCTGGCCTCTGTCTCCTTGCAGAGGTAGTCAAGTGCTCAGCACACAGGTGCTATCATCACCCTTTCTGAGAGTAAGCTCCCATTACTCTTGTTGACTGAACTATACAGGAACATTAACATTTTTCAGAAAATATCACAAATCCTGCCTAGTCAAAAGGACTTCCAAGCAGACTGGTGGTTCTTCAAAAGCATAAAATTCTAAACATTAAATATGTATCCCAAAGAGCTGAAAATGGGCTTAAACGTTCTGTTTGTTGTATGCCAATTTTCATCACAGGAGCATTACTCACAATCGCTAATGCAAAGGGTTCTCCCCCTTTTGCAGCCTAAGTGTCTGACAGATGAATGGTAAAGAAAATGTGATATATCCATATAATGGAATGTCATTCAGCCATAAAAAGGAATGAACAATTCCCTGAGAAAACATCCCCCATACTAACAAATACAAAAGAGGTTCAGAAGCATTGAGTACATCAAACAGGTAAAATATTTTAGGAGAAATGAACAAATTTTAGGTGCAGATGAAATGCCCACACTGGAAACAGCTGTGTCCGATTCAGGAAGACTTATCTGTATAAACACTAAGGAACATATATTTAAAAGTCTTAGTCAAGTCAAGAAGACCTAACTTGAGGTAGCGAACACACAGTACAATACACAGACCATGTGTCATAGAATTGCACACCCAAAACCTATATAATTTTATTAACTAGCGTCACCCCAATTTCAAAACTTAATAAATGGGAGATGAAGCACATACATTTGATTCTACCTCTTTTTAGTGGTATTTGTGACCAACATTGACATTTATGTTGTGGAATTTAAGGTATGAAACCTTAAATTAAAACAGTAGAGTGGGTATTACAGGAAAAAGCACTCATCTTAGGTTAACAGGTGAGTACTATTTAGAGACCAATTAAGGCTTGTATTTGAGGACCATCTGTAATTCCTGAACACTTCTATGTGACTAATATAAGCATCGCAGTCAGATATGTTGCTTTACCTCCGGATCTGCCTGCATGACCATCCCTATTTTTTTTAGAGAGCTTTCTCCCTGTATTAATCTCCACCTCATCCGAACCTCTCACCTCCATATCACTTTTCTTACAATGTTTCAATGAAATTTTGGCCTTAACAGTGGTTTACATTCAAAGGAAAATAATTAGAAAATTATAGAATGGAGAACATAAAGTACATACTAAGGAATTTTCAGGAAATGACAAAAGCTTACTAACATATCTTATTTTGAATGAAAATTACAGGAATTCTAGTTAGAAAACTGAATGCTTGTTTACCAACCAGAGAGATATTTATAGAAAATAATATCCTAATTGTTAAAAAAAATTAGAATTTTTTATAATGGAGATATGAGACTTCATTTATTCTTATTTTTATCTATATACAAAATGTCTATAACTTTATTTTAATGGAAAAAAAGAGATAGTGCAGTATGCTATTTTTAAAATGTAATGTACTACTCCAGACTCTTTTCCCAAAATAATGATAAATTTTCTGTCATCACAAAGCCAAACTCCTTTGTTTCCATAGCATTGTCCCCTAGTCTCAGTTGAAAAATCAAACATGGTCTGAAAATCTCAATAACCTTTTACATCTGTTGCTCTTCATGTATGGTTATGAGAAAATAATTTTATGACTCTCAAACCGGATACTAGATGAGACTGGGAGTGTTCAGGGTGGTATGGCTGTAGACTCAAACTGGCTACCAGAAAACTCTATTGTGTAAAAATGTAGGGTGTTTTTGTCCTGGCTCGTGTAGCTCAGTGGATTGAGCGTGGGCTGTGTGAACTAAAGGGAAGGGTCACTGGTTTGATTCCCAGTCAGGACACATGCCTGGGTTGCGGTCCAGGTCCCCAGTGGTGGCCACGTGAGAGGCAACCACACATTGATGTCTCTCTCCCTCTCTTTCTCCCTCCCTTCTCCTCTCTCTAAAAATAAATAAATAAAACCAAAAAAATTTTTTAAATGTAGGGTGTTTTTTGCCTATGTAACTGTAACAAATTATATTAGCTAAATATTCATTAGATAGTAATATAACAAAGAATAACAGTAAGGAAACAGCACGAAGGTCACTGCCTCTGCACAAAACGTGCAGCCTCTTCTCTGGCTCTAGTGATTTGTCTCTTACGTCACTTGTAATTGCTCAATAAAGACGAGCTGTTCTTTACCATTCAGGTGTTTCTACAAACTCTCTGACAAGGTGAAAATAATGGTATAGAGCTGTCAGAATATAGCATATGCAGAGAGTAGTAATTTCACATCTCAAAGTAATCAATTTTATGACAGTCACTAGTAAAAACTAGAATTAAAAAATAGGAACTGGTCTGCATTAAGAATCCATAAGTATGATTCACTGGATTTATCTCCAGATAGACATATTGGTAATTAAGAACTCTACAAGTAGTTTCTTTTATTTACAGAAATGTTACTGTGAATAGTAACATTACTTTGAATACACCTTACTTATTGATAATATTAGGCAGAATACCTTCCCTAATTAAAATAATCTATCTATGGGTGACAGAACAAGAGACACAAGAAAAAGAAAAAGAGTTCTGCTGTGTTCATGTGACAGAAACTATCCCTCAAATGGCCATTCCCTTTTCTCTCTCAAATTCACAGAACCCTAATTTACTAGCTGGGCACTACCGCCTAGAAAAGACTGAGGTCACTCACCCTCTCCTAGAGAGGATATAGTCACATGGCTAAGTTTTGGCCAATGAGGAATAAGCACTAGTGAAATGTGGGACTTCCGGAAACTCTACTTTAAAGAAACTGCATTAAGTTCTGCTGATAAGACTTTCTTTCATTAAGAACTCACTGTGGAACTGGGAATATGCACAGTCTCACGTAGTCATCACATGAAAGGAAGCTATCAACAGGGCCTACTATCAGGTTAGGTACTACTACTGCCGTTTTCAACACAGGGATTCAGTTAACTCATGCAAGACTTCACATTTCGTAGCTGGTAACACTGACAATGGAACTCAGGTCTGTGTAACTCCAAAGTTCATACCACTAACCACTGTATTACAATTTCACTGAAAATTCTTCAAGTTCTTCACTCTTCTATATCATGGGGAAAATTAAGTTTTAAAAGTCATTCTTATGGATGGAGGAAGTGGGACTATCAATTAATTCCATTGTAAAAGCTGTAATGATTTCAGAGGGCACTGAGAAGCCTGGAAGAAGCCACAAGAACCTTGGTATATTGACTAATTTTAACTAATTTTTAGTTTTCTGAGGTATATAGAACTCAACATTTGAGTTTAACAAACTAAATGACAGAAAGTATAAGCTTAACTGGCAAAAGCCCAGAAGAGAAAAATCTCACACTTTTGACTCTAGTCACTAAGTCAAAAACATACCCAGTGTTCTGACGTATTTCCTAAAGACATAGGTGTAGAATGACTAGAATGTATACACACTTACTCTTTCTAGAACACACCAAACTGCAAACTATAACTAGCTACCATATTTAAAAAAAAAAAAAAAGAATAAAACTAAGGTCTTTAGAAGAAAGTTATTTAAAATCAGATCAAAATAATTTCTAAAGGAAATACCTTCAATACTTGGCTGCATTTCTTCTGTTTTTGGAACAAAAATTCTGATTACACTTGTGTTGATGTAAATCAAAGGTAAATTGCGAGAAGTCAGCGTATGGGTCCTCATGGGCTGACCAGGAGATTTTCTTTTCTCTTTTTGGGTCTTTGGTAATTTTGCTTGAAATATACTTGCAATGGCATTAAGTAAAGGAAAACAGAGGACAATATCAAAAGCTTGTGCTGAAAGAAGAATTTCATGAAGAAAATGAGGGGAACCATCCGTTACACCTTCAGATAATTTATGAAAACTTCTTCGCTCATTCCTTGATATTAACTTGTGGCGGACATTTTTTGTTACAGCTTTTGTATATGTCAAAGAAAGAAATCCATGCTGCTGATGAGAGCCATCCAGAAGTTTTGCAGTAGTCTGTTCCAAAAAAGGAGATCACAATACATATTAAAAAAAACACTATTTGAAAGCAGAAAATGATCTCAGTTGGTATTATAACCTTTTATTATGTCTACACCTCTTAATGAACACATTACCAAACAATTCTGCAGATGCAACGAAAGCTTCTAAGACTATGGGTATGAATGAAGTAAAGTTAGGAATCCTAAAGTCCAGTTTAGATCTAGAGAGAGGTAATTAACCCCTGTGTGCCCCCTTCTGTGATTTCTACAGTTTTTGTAACATTCAGAATTTGGAACAGATTATCTCTGGATTTTATCTTTTCATTCTTGATATGAGAACAAATATGCTGTCACAATATGGGCCACAGAGGGGTTGTTTATGCAGGTGAAATTGAAATAATAATGTTATTTATTTCTATTCAGGTTGATTAACAACCTGACTTCACTTGACTTACCATTTCTAAGAATGCTGTTTTTCCTTTAATAATTTTAATTTATATGAAGACTGAGCCCATAAAATGAGCCTCACTGTTACGGTGCTTTGATGACTACACTAACCATTTAACACATGTTCACTGGAAATGATAATTTGACACAGAAATAACACACTTGTCCTTTAAACTTGCCTATTTTCAGTGGCTATCATAATGTTTGCAAAATCTACCAACTATCCTACAAATCATATTCTTTGGGTTCTATACTGTATTACTATACATACAGCATTTGATTGAGAGTGAAAATTATGTCACTGTAACTTTGATATTTCTGATATAATTTTCCAATTAATTCTCATATTCAAATTGCACAGTATAAATAAATTACAGTAAAGCAACATACATTTAAGAGTAAAGTGCATACTTTGTATTTCTCAACATACAAAAGAAAACATTTCTTCAAAGATTCCCTAAGCAAATTAATGTACATTATTCTGAGTTTATAAATTACTCAATATAAAATTAGAGTTTTTATACTTCACATTCCTAACCTCTCCTTCCCAAGGCTTAACAATTTTTTAGTTATTAGTGTCCAAAGAATAATGTTAAGAGAGGAGATGAACTAAACAAGAAAAAGAAGGAGAAAGCGGGGGGGGCAGTGAGGAAGAGGGGAGGAGGAGGAGAAAATAATTCCCCCAAACAGGAAACATGTGAGAGAAGTATAGCAAAGCAGCAATGTGTCCGAACCCATGTTACACCATCATTAGAAAATCTCTTTCACTTCCATTTCCTGCCTCTTGCATTGTTATCACCCAAGAATGTGATCAGAGGAAAAAAATATGCAATTCAGCTATTGTTGTTGATTTTGTTTTCAATAAAACAATGAATCTTTACAATGAAGAAAGGTGAGATAAAATTTACCTTTGTATATGTTACTTTTTTAAAGTTAATTTTATGAACATTAAAAGGCCTGGAAATCAGACAGTACATGGATGTGAAATATAACAATTTTTCATATAACTGTCTTGCCCTCAGAACATTTTTTACTGCCCCCAACTTTCTCATTGCCTCATACTCTTCTTGCCATGCTGCTGGACAGCAGGCAATGGTGGATGGAGAAGGGTGGCTGTGGTGTGGCCCCAGCAGAAGAGGCCACAGCAGCACTGTTCCTCTCCAGGTGTCCCCCCAGAGGTGGGGGGTGGTAGAATCAAACACTAATCTAAATTACCCAACTCAAATCTTCATTAATGGCAACATTTGAATTCTCTAATTAGTATGAAAGGCATTTCAATGTATAAATGTTTTGATCTGGAAAAAAATTTTCTGAACACTGAATTTAGGTGCTCTTAAAAGGTAAACTCCCATAGGGGCAGTTTGGTAAACTACTGAATCTGTAACTCCCTTCAGATACAAAGAAAAAAAAATGAATGAATACTAGCTAGAGTTGGGATAATATACAGTTATTTTACATAGAGTAATAATTAGTATTTTATATGATTTAAGATTAAAATAAGAAAACATAATTAAGGAAATGTCAATAAAATTGAAAAAGTAAATTGATAGAAAAAATTTTAGAGGATTTTAATAATAATTTTTCATGAATACATGTCAAAATTATTAAGAATGTTTCTCATGGACACTAATGAACATCCAACGAGAAGAAAATAAATCTAAACAGAACTTCCTCCAATACCTAATCAACAAAACAAACAAGCAGGCAGAGCAAAACCAGAGACATGGAAAGAAAGAACTGACAGCAACCAGAAGGGAGGGGGGAGGGGAGTAATGGGGGAAATAAGAGGAAGGGTCACCAAGGAACATGTTTAAAGGACTCCTGGACAAAGACAATGGAGGGGTATTGAATGTAGGAGGTGGGTAGGGCAGGGGAGAGTAATTGGGAAAAATGGGGACAACTGTAACTGAACAACAACAACAACAAAAAAGGGACATCCTTTTCTAGACTAGGCTAGAAAAATTCAAAACTCAAATCAGAAACTAGCATTTGCTGTGTGTGTTATATGTGTGTGTGATATATATGTATATACACATATTGTGTGTGTTTACATATAACATATACATACATTTACATATACATGTACATATACATGTATGTACATATATAAAACATATATATGTACATATATAATTCTAAGAACACAATTATTTAAAATACTTGGCCAAGTTTTATAATATTGGAGATATATGCCTTAAATTTCTTTTGAGCTACAAAAATGGAAATAGAAATAGATAAGTAGTTTACACACACTGAGAAAATTTCCAATAGTTTTTGAAATAATTCAATACATTCTTCAGAGAATCACTATTACCATTTTGATAACCTGCTCTTAATATTTTAAAATGCATGTATTTTTACTGACTTGAACACATCACTTAAAATAATTAGCTTAATAATATATTCACATAAATTGCACCATCAGGAAAAACAAGGACCTAAACTTTTAAAAGCCAATGACGTATGGTCTGGTGTTCATTTTCTATCCAGTAAACAATGGACACACAGCCTTTTTCAGATTGAAGAGGACACAACATACGGTACTTTAAATTAGTTGTGAAAAGGAAATGGCTTAATAATAGGAGGAAAAAAGCGAACTAAGTAAGAATCATAAAAGGAATGACAATAGCAGTTTGGTCAACTCTTGATCATTCAGTACATGCATAATTTAAAAAACATATTTAACATCCAACTTTGATTTTTAATGGTGATTATAAAATTAGTTTGTATTCACAAAGCCAGAGTGGGAAGTAGCATATACAAGTAGCCCAGAAACAAATCAGAATACAGTGGGAAATCAGTCCATGATTTAAAAATTCATTATAATTCATTTACAAAGTAGATGGTATAGAGGAAGAAGAAAATCAAGAGTTCACTCTAAGTATAGTTCAATTCCTTCTCTAGGTTCCTGTTAATGGGAGATCTGTAGCATAATTTAAAAATGATTTCTTACAGAAGGAAAGAAGCCAGAGCAATTACTGAAAGGGTCCTGCTTGCTGACGGGTCGAACCAGCAAGGTGCGTCTGTTCAGCTTGTCAGTACAGGAAAGGAAGACACCTCCACATTGCCCCAGAGACCAACACTCTTCCCCAAGGCTTGAGGTGATGGACAGGAGCAAAGAAGGTGAAAAGACAAAAAGCAATAAAAGCCATAAGCAAAAAAAGAATCTAGATAGTTTTAATTCTGCTCAAGTTTGCATAGCTTTAGATTTGAGCCATTGCTAGGTATGGGCTCTGTCTGGACCATCTTCTGCAAAAGCATTGTTAATGGAAGTAAACAAAAATCAAGTATTGTAAGTATACAATGACTACTTTTAGTTTACGATAAAGGACAATCCACATGACTCACTTATGAATAAGGAAAACTCCTAAAAAAGTCAATATAATAATACGTTAATGAAAAGTATATTAATAAAAGCAATCTTACCTTTGACCATTTGAAATATTTGTTTAATTGCTGTGGAGGAAAAATGGTTACATAACACAAGCAGCTTACAGAAATGGTTTTATTCAATAATGTAATTTTGGAAGAATAGGTCAAAAATTACTATGAGCTCTAATTATTGTAACCATTAGTGCTAGTGCATAAAAGAACAAAGACAAACAGTTTGCATTTTAAAAAAATCATAATTACTAAATGAGTCTCACCACAGGTTTTTCTTTGCACTGTAGAAATACTCCTTCAAAATGTCCTGACTGCCAACCTTCCCCTGGCCTGGAAAACATAAGTTCACCTTATCTGTTCTCTTCAATTATTCTGAGTCAAAAATTGAGCATATATAACTATTTCAAATAGTTATGATATCAACAACACTGCCCTGAACTAAAACATTGATCTGATAATGCAATCAATAGAAATATTAACATTAGCACAACACCCTGGTAGTTCTTCATAAAAGCATTTGTCTTAATGATAAATTATATATTTATTTTTGCTAATCACTGTATACTCATTGTCTAGTAGTACTTGACACATAATACACACTCAATAAATATTTTAAGTGACATGAATAAATTATCTAAATACTTAAAACTCACATAAACATCACAGGAAAGCCATTGATGATCTAGAATATAGACTGTAATATTTATATCATCAAGAAATTATTTCAACTATAATATTCATGTATCACTTGCAAGGATCATTTTGATATAGAAATATTCCATTTAAAGGGAACTAAAGAGCTAAATATTCCATTATCAAAAATCAACTGATACACTGTTAATTCAATGAAAACAATTATCAATGCTTGATAAGATAATATAATTATAACAAGTATATATATATATATTTGTACACATAGCAAAATATTTGGAATTTCACAATTATGACACAATTTTTCAGCTGTGACAGTAGATAACTATTTACATGACCAATATGCTATATGCTACAAAGATAAAAATTCAATGTAGAATTCATGTTTTAATGTAGAAATAGAAATCTGTTAAAAAAAAAAAAGACTGTGTTTAGGGTATATAATGCATTAATAAAGGTTCCGAAACATGTGCTTCTACAGGCATTCAATAAGTAATTTTTGAGTGAATATTGTGAATATTATGTATTGAGGTAAAAATAAATAAGGCTGTTGCTATGCCAAAATACTATGAAACTGAAAATACAATGCTATGAAAAATGTTTAAAAAGCATGTGTGTGTTTTATGGTATGTGAATTACATTTCAATTTAAAAAATCTCCAGGGTAGTATTATTAAAACTATAACAACAACAACCCAAAAAGCATTTGGACTTTTATTTGGAAAAAAAATGACAAAAATGTTACATAGCTTTGTGAAAATATCTAAAACTTCACTTTTTTACTACCACTATTTATTACTGTAAGAAAATTATATTTGCTTATAATCATATTCTTGATAGAAATTTATTAGGGATGGAAAAATGGTTCTAGAAACATCCATCATATGCATTTTAATCATCTGTGAGATATGAAAAGTCTCCAGAGCGCAAAGAACAGAAGATGTCGCTTCATTTAGTCCATATTAATGACACTGTTACAGGGAGTGGAGGGCAAGGCTGCAGCAAAAATCAAAGCCATCACCCGTGTCCCAGGCATCTCAGCACATACACAACACATGTAACAAACATCTGAGATGATCAGTAAAAGCAACTTTGTCATTTAATATGGCAACATGGATATTTATGAACAGATTTACCATTTTATGAAACAAAACTTTATATTCTACATATGAATGAATACCAAGTAAAGTTAACACATTTTTTTTCTGCTAAGAACCCTCTTTGGGAATAAATATAGTATTTCTAAAAAATAACTAATTGATATAAATATAAAAATTCTTATTATACCTTGTTTAAAGAAAATATAGCCTTTCCATAAAGGCTATATTCATTATTTACCTGCTTCTATAGTGATCAATATTGAAACTTTCTATTTTACATTTCACTTTGGTATACACATCCTGGACATCTATGGAAGCACTGAGATCTTCTAGTTCGCTGACCATACAAAGCTCTGCAATAAGAAGTAAACATTAATTACAATATTGGCCCTATAATCAATGGCACATATGTTCTTTACATCTACAAAGGAAGCAAGCCTCTCTGTTATTCTACAACAAGAGTAAGCGGGAGTAAGCGGGCTGATTCCCAGTCAGGTCACATGCCTGAGTTGCAGGTTCAGTCCCTGGTCTGGGCACAAGTGAGGGGTGAATGAGTAATGTTTCTCTCCCTCTCTCTCCCCCTCCATTCCCCTCTTTCTAAAATCAATAAGCATGTCCTCAGGTGAGGATAAAAAAAATTTTAAAGGAGTTCGTAGTTACTGTTTTAAATGCTATATCTGGTATCAGTCATCGATCTTTGAATACTTTTCCTTACATAACATAATATATCAATATGACCAACAAGAAATTACCTCATGGTTTTTAAGATGAATTTTAATACAGTAAGACAAAATTTATGTATAACACTCAATATGTTATTATTGCTAACAGAAATCACTTTAATAAGACTTAATGATGTCTGTTGAATTTAAATGGCAATGATAAATAACACTAAGTCTAATATTTCTTTTAAAAATAGTTTTTAATACTTTATCTTTTCAGTACAGAAGAAAAGTAACCCTGTACCTGTGCCTTTATTCTCAGGATCTGGAGCAAAGAGCTTTATAGTAATTTTGGGGAGCACCCACTGCATCCACAGGCTAACACGTCCACTGGATCCACCAATGTTACTTGTAGTTTGTTCCAAGGTAACAGAATCTGAGAACGGTGAATCATCACCTGCTTGCACAGAATCTCCCTGGGTTGAGAAAAAAAACTTTGTAACTTAAAACAAATCTTTAATTATTATCTATAACTTTTCCATATCACATATGCTGATACTAATCTTGTAAATGCTTACGCTAATATACAATGCTAATACCATAAACTAATAAAATCACCAAATACTAATCAATACACTATAGCATGTTTACGTTTAAAATATGTGCACACATATTTAAACATGAGTTAAGTATGTAAGTTATTCCAGTCGGCAGCATGATGTATCAGGATGGGGACTTTAGACACTAGGGTGTGATTTAATCTCTCAGTTTGTGTCCTCTCCTGAAAAGTGGTTATTGTAATGATATTTATCTCACAGCGTTGTTAAGATTAAGTAAGGACATGAATATAAAGTGGTAACATACACTAAACAATTCATCAACAGCAGGTATAATTATCACCATCAAGCTCAAACAATACTTGGAAATTGTACACTCATATTCCTAGGAATTTGTACCCCAAAGCCTCTTGCCTTTCTCATTTTGTTATCTTTCTAACTTCAGCACATTTTCCTGTGCCATATATTCTCAACTTTTAACTTCTAACTCCTTCTATACTAAGGAGTAATTTAGCAGTATTCAATGGACAGAACAAAACAGCCCCTAAAATTTGATAGAAGTTAATGTAACATGATCAGTGTACTGTTTTCTATGGAGAGTTTCTCAGACTAATCTTAGTCAAGCCATTAGCTTGGCATTTTAAAGTAGGAAAGATAAGTAAAACCTAAAACAAAACAAAACCAAAAACCCTACACTGATTATCACAGACAAGCCATTCTTTATACTTAAATAGGTATATTTGGCTACTATATGAAGTTTTTACCTTGATGTCAGTTTTACAGCATCTTTTAATCAGAATAAACTTCAATTTCACTGAACCACCACAAGGAGATCAAATGGGGAAGACTTTCACAAAACAGGCAAGTGTGCAAGTGTTTACTATTGGAATACTTAAGCACCAAGCACAGTAAAGCAACACTGTCTTGTGATATACAGTGACAAAAGAATTACAGACCTAAACCTGAAGATAGTATAGTCATTCCTGGATCCCATTACACGAAGCAAGGCCAACAGCTTGCTGTTTGCCATGTTTTCATATAAATAGTTCCCCAATATTAAGTGGTCCTATATCTGCTATAATTGAAATTCCTAAATTTAAGAAGCTATAGAAAAATTTGGGGTTTTGGTTAGCTGTCTGATGTAACACAACAGCTAATGAAAAGCACAAACTAATCCCAGAAAAGAATGCATTTGTAAGTCAAATTAAATAAAAGACAACATCTTAGTCAGTATGCCTTTCTTTAAGAATAGGTTCTTAGATGAGAAGCATTAATAAATTAATTCTCCCTCAAACAGAAGAATATCACAATCACAAGAATGGAAACTGCAGCAAAAACAGCCAACAAAACCTTGATTTTTTTTTTTTTAACACTGTTAGGTATATTCAGTATGAATGCTAAGAAAACTACGGCTTCAAATTTGATAAGTAAGTTCTCCTGAGAAAAAGTTCTCCTCTCCTTCCTCACTGAGTTTCAATTTTCATTTTGGATTTACAACATTCGGTGTGGTGTTGTTAAATATGTTTATGCATTAATTTTCTGCTTTATTTCCAATTCTAGCAAAAATCGAGCCAGAATTGGAGATGCTGGACTATTTTCCCACACCTCTTTATGCCAAGTTCTAAAATACACAGTTTAATTCTTTCACCATTTTGTTGCAAATTGACTAAAATACTGCGTTTATTTTCCTAGCTGAATTTATCTTTGTTCATCTGGAAGAGCAAACACTTCAGCCCTTCATCCTTGGCCTGGTTCAGAGCTCAGGGATGATCATAGTTTTGGCCACATTGCTATTCTCCCTTATCAAAATAACTCCAGAGTTCTTGTTCAATCACGAAACTTCCCAAAGGGCTAAACACTTCCACCACTGTTTGTACTTAAGTCAACAGTAACAAGTGGCCTGCTGTGGTTTCCACTACCTTTGCTCCCATTATTTCAGTGCAAGGGTGGGAAAAATGATTAACTGTTTTTTAAGCTCAGTGCTTAAGCCTTTCACTCATATTTCCCCCTCAACACCACCCAGAAGGATATTCAAGGAAGCTAGAGCTATATTCACTGAAAAGTACGGTGCTCCCCATCAACATGTCAGCATGAAAAGAATTACTCATAGTTTAAAGTATAAATCATCCAAGGATCATATAAACAAATACTTCTACTTAATACAAACAATTGTTAAGAGTGTGCTTTTTAAAACTAGATTCATTTATAGTAAATTCTTTACAGTTAAAACAATTTAAAAATAATAGTTTTGACCCAACTCAACAAGAAAAAATAAATAGTAAATGTTTTAACATTTTTATGAACTTTTTAAATGCAAGTATTATTTAGGGATTTAATTCAAAATTGCAACTTCAAAGTGGTGCTTGATATAAATAAGCACAACAAATGTAAGGTGGCCTTAGATTAATAGATTATATTTAACAATAAAACTCCTTGAAATTTAAAAACCAAAAATAAGTAAGCCAATAACTGAAAAACTAGAGAGATTTTCTAATATAATAATTTAGAAATAGAGAAAACATCACGAAGAAAATATTTTGTTGATTGGTGTGCGAAGGCTAAATAGTAACCTTCACTGACCTAATCTGCTTTGATATACCATTTTTGTTCTTTCAACAGCTACTTAATTGATTAGATGATAACCTAAATGCTAAGATTTCTACATTTTGAATAAAAGTTTCACACTAAATGTTAAAGATAAATATTAAATGAAATAAGTATATTCAGGACAAGATTTAAAATTAATGAGACATTCTTAAATGTTTAAATTAAGTTTCTTTTCTAAAGGGTTGTTTGGAATAATAACTTGAGGTATGTTACCATTTAGGTTAACTGTGCTTGAATAATTGAACAATTGACAACAGTGTTGCTGTAGTAGATGATGTCAAACTAGGTATCTGTCTATTATTCACTGGGTTTTTGAAATTAATATAAGTACAACATAATGACTCAATATTTGTACATATTGTGATATGATGACCACAGTAAGTCCACTTAACACTCATCATCACAGTTACAACTTAGTTTTTCTTGTGATGAGAACTTTATAGATCTACACTAAGCAACTTTCAAACATGATAGAGCAGGGGTGTCAAACTCACTTTCACCGGGGGCCATATCAGCCTCGAGGTTGCCTGCAAAGGGCTGAATGTAATTTTAGCACTGTATAAATGTAACTACTTCTTAACTAGGGGCAAGGAGCTTGGCACTGCCGCTGGGTAGAAACAAAGTGCTGGGCCAGATAAAACAAGGTGGAGGGCCGGATTCGGCCCATGGGCCTTGTATTTGCAACCTGTGCTGTAGAGTATTGCTAACTACAGCCACCATGTTGTACATTATATTCCAGGACTTACGTTACAACTGGGAGTTGGTACCTTTTGATCACCTTTACTCATTTTGCTCCCCCTCCCCAATTTCCACTTTTAATTTAACTGGAAATAAATGCATTTTAAACAACTACTGAACACTAAGAAAGGAACCACTTTATGCTGGGTGTTTTGAGAACAGGTGTGCTAAAAGCAATTTTAATTCCTGAATCAATAAAGAATAAGTTTTGTCATGAACCTCAGCTGTCATACACTGGAGGTTAGTCTGTCAATTCTCACTTCACCGTGTATTGTAAATCAACATTCTAGCAACCAATCAGCATTTTACATTTTTCTAAGCTTCAAAATTATTTTTTATATTCTTGCTGTGAATGAATATGGCACGTAAAAGACATTATTCATACATACAAGAAAGCACAAATAAAAACTTCTAGCTGTGTAAAAAAGTCCCAGGCTAGTGACCGTAGGCCCTGGACTCCCTCAGAGAAACACACACATAAAAGCCTGTTGGGGAAACAGGCCATCGACGCTGTGTAAGAGTCTCATAAATAAAGACCCATGAAAGAAGAACTCCCAAAATAAAATTACATAACACATAAGGAAACAATCTACTATAACAACGAATTAAGAACACAATAAACAGTAGGATTAGACTCTCAAGAAATTCATATAATAGATCTAATGGAAATATAAAATAATTATGTTTAAAATAATTAAAGACATAAAACCAAAAATAAGCTCATATTAAGTTTAATGTATTTACATCAAAATATATTTGTAGTGACCTAATATACATCTATGTCCTGTACCATAATAAATCAGTTTTAACTTAATTATAGTAAGTTGATATTCCCAAATTATTTAATATCCATATATTCAAAACCAATGTGTGTAAAATGTATTTTCCACTGAGCTTTGTACCAGTTGCTTAAACTAGTGATAGCCTCAGAAAAAGAAGACAATCAGTGACAGATGGTGATGGAAAGTTAGATTCCACATTCAGCATGGCACTGAAACAATATAATCACTACCTGACACCTTCACTTTTGAGCCAATGGACGTCTGTCTCTCAGTCTAAATCATTCTGTTTCTAACCTATAATGTTTGACTTAACACTTTTTTAAATATGGAAAACAAACAACATAAAAAGTATAACTAATATGGAAATAAAAAATAACAGAGGATCAATTTTTTATATTTTGCTTTTAGAAAATTTATTAGAGCTGAAACAATGCTAGTTTTCATTCACACAAAATTACCGTCAAAAGAGAAAATAGTTTTCAACTTTAAAACACTGTCTACTAACTAAAAACTTAAGTGGAATATTTATTATTAAACATAGTTCTAGAAGCTCTAGCCACAGCAATTAGGCAAGAAAAAGAAATAAATGGCACCCAAATTGGAAAAGAAGTAAAATTACTCTGCTACCAGAGGATATGACCTTATATATAAAAAAATCCCAAAGATTACACAAAACACACAACTGTTAAAACTAATAAAAAAAATTCAGCAAAATTTCATTATACAAAACCCACTTGCATAAATCAGTTGTGTTTCTATATACTAACAGAGAACAATCAGAAAAAATCATAA